CTGAAACGTTTCCTTTTGTATTCGAGAAAGATAGCCCAAGATTGCTGCATTACTTATTCTTGCAACTTAAAATAGATTTAGCAGTTCTGTGTTTTTCGTTATTGTTTTTCTACATCTGCTTTTGAAAATTGAAGTTAGCAACTGTTTTGCGGGCGGGTGGGGGGGGGGGAATAGGGTTTGCAAGTAGTTTGCCTTTCCTAGGACTCAAAATAGCCTGGCACTGGGCACTGCCTCTGACCCCTCTGGATTTTGTCGTACGACAAGCCCCATTGCTCCTATGCTGGCCGCAGCTGACGGGAGTTGCAGTCCCACCAAACATCTGGAAGGCCACAGGCTTCCCACGTCACTGCGAATTTCTGAGGCGGCCGAAAAGAGCTTCCCAAAAGGGGAGGAGCGCGAGAGTGCCCGCCCAAGAAACCCCACGCTCTCTTTCTCCCACATCCTCTCCCTCCTCCCCTAGAGGGCAACGAAACTCCACACGGGGGAAGGAGCCGAGGCGGCGCACACGGACCTGCGTCAGAAGATACCAATGCGCGCTTTTGAGGTCCGGCTGAAGGAACTCGGAGGAGAAAACCGTTAGTCCTGAGTCAGCCTCCCGCGCGTGCGCGCCCGGCCGAAGGCTGCTTATTGTGGTAGATGCGGCTTTGAAAGGCGGAGAACGCGGGGGGATTACTTATGAGCCCTCCCTTCTCACCCTCCCTTCTCCTCTTCCCCTGCGCGGCTGCGTCACGCGCCGGACGACGTCACGGAGGTCAGGAAGGTTCTGAGGCTTTTAGCGTGCAGGCTCGTGAGAGCGTCGTTTCTCTCAGGACTTCGCGGAGGGCGCTCCTTTTTCCTCCCTCCCGCCTCGCCGTTGGCTCTCTGGGCAAGGCGGCAGCGGGAGGAAGGTGGAAGGCAGCGTTCGGCGGGAAAAGGGATTCCTTCAGCTCGCCTGCTGGGTCATTGTAATAAATAAACATACAAACAAACAAATATTTTGGGTGTCTCTTCTATTTTCCTCTAATGCCTCACACACCAAGCCACACCTGTTGTGAGGCTGCAGTCCTGTGCAGGGTTGCATGGGAGCAAGTCCCACAGAATTAAGTGGGAATTAAGCATTATAAAATTTATACCCTGGTTTTTCACCCGACTCTGCAGCTATGAATGCGCCAGTGGCTACTTACCATTTTAATCTAGCCCGCATCCCATAGTCTGGATGGCTGCAGGGAACAAGGCTGTGCATCACTGTGTACTGGGGAGCTACAGTAAGGAAGAGATACTGCAGGATGCTAGACTCCATGAGCCTCTTCATAGATCTAGATATAGATGGAGAAATTAATTTTGCACATGTTCAGATAATAATAATATAATTTATTATTTGTACCCCACCCATCTGGCTGGGTCTCCCCAGCCACTCTGGGCGGCTTCCAACAAAGATTAAAAATACATTAAAATGTCACACATTAAAAACTTCCCTGAAGTTTTTGCATGTTCTGTTTTGTGCCATGGCACAGAAATCCATCTTAGCCAAGCTCAAATTTAAACTTCGAATACAGTTTACAACGGATGCTAGTTAGTCACCTTGACCATAGCTCAGTTGTAGAGGACACACCCTGGTGAAAGGGATGAGAGAGCAGGTGATGTTCCTCTGCCTGAGACTCTGAAGAGGCTCTGCCCATCAGAATATACAATACTGAGCTAGATCGACAAGTGGAACAAATCTGGAATAGATGGGAAATTGTTTCACCAGTGCAAGCTCCGAAGCACACACTTAGGCCTGTACCCATGCTGCCTTTGATCATGCTGTTTGTGTGCCCACATGACAGTGTTGTGAACATAGAGCAGAAAGCAAAAGTGGGCAATTTAAAAACTGTGTGTAGGTTTGATGTTTTAGTTATCTACAGTCTGAGAAAATGTAAAAAGAACCAAAACATTTTAACATTACTGTGAAAATGCCCTATGTATTCACAACACAGTTTAGTATAGCACTGTAGTCAGATGCATCTGCAGATACGCTAGGACAGCACCAACCTGAACAATAAATGACACACAAGCAAAACTGGCCTGGAATATTTTGTGGGTCATGGTTATTCCTAGTTAACAGATGGCAAACTGTTCGCTGCAAATGTTTTAGATGCAGAAGTGAGAAGCAGCCTAGTCAGTTTGAAGAGCTTTCCAAAAAAGCAGAAAGGCAACACTATATAATAAGTGCATTATTCCAATGGGATTAGCTGTTTTGTGTGTTTCTGTTCTTGCATCTTATGACTTTTCAATGGCTCTTTATTGGTAGTGGTGGTGGGGATAAGTAGTCAGCATTCTTCTGAAAAACAGAGCCCTTCTTACAATCTCTCAAGCTGTCTGGGCTGCAGTTGAATAAATGAGGTCACATACGAATATTTTGAGAATTTGTCAGAGATCATTATTGTGAATGAAAGAAATTGAAAGCATCTGCCCATCTCCTCCTGCTGCATTTCCTATTCCCAGGACCTGAGTTGTGTGTTGGATAGACTATTACTCAAAAGTAAAGCTTTTTGGAGGAAAGGGCAACTGTTGCCCTTTGAAAATCTGTTCCCTGAGCATGACACAGAAAACAAGAAGGCACGTTCTGGGAACACTGGGGCAGCCATTCCGTCAGACTGGAACACAGAGAGAGAAGGGAAGCAAGGCCACTCCATTAGTCCAGCTGCCTTTGGCTCCCTCACATCCGTCACCTGGTGGCAGCCATTGCATAAGGCGATCTGAACTGCTGCCATCGCAGCTGGTTGTTTTGAGAACTGTAACTTTAAGAACTACAGCCTGAATTTGACTCCCCCTTCTCATCACTTTTTCTTTTTATGTCATGTCTTTTAGATGATTGGAACCTGATGACAAGAACAACATTGCTTTTTCTTTTTCTTTTTGGATCTGTAAGCTACTCCTTTTCAGCTGAAGCGTTGGTTTTAAAATGTCTTAAACAAATAAATTAATAAATGATGTCATTTATGAACATAATTTATTCCAAGTTGTTCATACTGTTTTATGGATGTGTTATGTTCACCACCTAGGTACTTTGTTTACTGGGTGTTATCTGAGCCTGTGAAATAAACAAACATATCAGCTCTTGCTGAATACTTTCCAGCAAGGAATACAGTATTGCTGTAGTTCATTTGCCCTCAGTATTTTCTGCCTTGACCAAAGCAAGCTTTATGAAACCTAACCCAAATATGTGGCTGAAGATGCACTGTGTTTGAACGATTATCTCATTAGTGACCTCAGCCATCTGTGCAGACGGCTGCTAACTCTGGAGTTTGGCAAGGCAGGCCAGGGTCTCTATCATTGCATTGAGCCGTGGGTGGGGGAGGGGAGAGAGAGAGAGAGAGAGAGAGAGAGAGAGAGAGAGAGAGAGATGGATGCCCCTTGTTTTTTCTGCTCTGTCTCTTCCACAAACTGCAAAGCATTGTGGATCCCCAAAGAGCAGATTCAATGTAAGAAACAATACACTCTTTTCTGAAACTTTTTGGGCACGTCTATACAAATGTTTTCACTACTCTGATCCAATACATCTCCTCTCCTCAAGCCGTGAGATACCCATGCTTTCAGGAAGTGCATGTATAAAATTACGTGCCAGTCAGGTTTACTGTGTTGTACAGGGGTGAAATCCTAAGGAAATAGGACTGGAATGACTAACTTCAATTGCCCAGCAATGTAAAAAGTTTATTCAGATGTATTTGTTTAATATATTTATACAAAGCTGTTCAATAGCATTGTTCTCTGGGTGGCTAACAGCAGAAAATGATAAAATGCATATCATAGGACTATTTCTAGGATAAAAAATAGTAATCTTCAACATATGCTGTCTAAATCTGAATACTTATTCAGTTTTGCTATTTGCTATTTTTTAATATTAAAAAAGATCACAACTGCAGACCTGTGCATTCTTAGGGTATGTTGACATTGCCACATACTCTTCATCAGTGTGCTCCAATTAGCCACATCCATCCTGCAGTTTCTTGACCAACACTGATATTTGAAGAGGGTTCCCTGCCTGACCAACCAGCTTCACTCCAACTAGAAAACTGGATGTGGAGTAAGCAGTAATGTAAGCATTTGAGACAGCCATTGCACCATGTACAGATGACAGCTTCATGAATAAGAGTTCTGGGCAGGGGTGTTTTGCAGGGTCAGGGTCATGTGCATCAGGTGAAGACACCCCCCCCCCCATTTTCTGAAGTGAACAAATGCAAACTAAAATGCACTGGGGGAGGGGATGACCTTGCCGCATTTTAAGATGCAAATGTGAGCACACCCTTATTTGGGGACTACGGACGCCACCCATCTCCCAATAGGAATTACTTCCCATGAAACACATTTGTGATCAAACTGAACTACCGCAATACAAGAAGCAAGGGAAAACCTGCAGCCATCCAGATTTTGCTGAATTCTCAGCTCCCATTGCAAATGACGGTTGGCCATGCTGGGTGGCTGATGCAAGTTGGAGCCCAACAAGTTCTGGAGGATCAGAGGTCTCTTTGATGTCCACCAGCATTCTAAGAGTGGCTTGGGAAAGAAACAGATGACTGGCTGACAGTGTTTTGTTGTATTTCTATTTAGCTATAGCATTCTTTTTTTAAAGAAGTGTTGAGCTACCACAAATACAAAGGATCAAAACAGTGGTAAAGAAAAAGAAATCCACCAAAACAAAACAAAAAGCAGTTGCAAGAATTGTTCCCACATGTTTAAAAAATATCTTTGATCAAGGGAAGTTTCTATATTGACTCCTTAGTAAAACACACAAGCACACACACTAAAAAGAGAAACATAGCCTTTGTACTGCCTCTGAGTTAGCTACAGTATTAAGGGTTTTTGAGGAGTAAATAAATGTAATGGCTTCCCTTGATAACAGTATTTTAGAAAGGAACAAGGCCAGTCATTGAGCTGTTTCTTTTTAGTACCATAGTAATGCTTGACAAATTCTACGAGGGGCAGATTCACACCCATTTTTTAAGACCGTGAAGTATAATATGTGAATGTAACATACCTGCGCCTGGGATAGCTCAGTTGGTACATCATGAGACACTTATTCTCAGGTTTGTGGGTTCAAGCCCCACTTTGGGCAAAAGATTCCTGCATTGCAGGGGGTGGACCAGATGACACTTGTGGGCTCTACCAACTGTACAATTCTATGATTCTATATGTCCACAGAGGCCTTCCATGGCACCCACAGGGTCCCCTTCCTCTGCCCCTCCCTCTGCTGAAATTAAGACAATGGTTTCCACAGTTTGTAAATACACCCATGGCCCAAAATGCGGCTAAGACCATAGAAAACTAATTTTGATTAGTTTTCTGCTAATCATCTTCAGGCGTAAGAATCCTTGATGCACACATAGAATCATAGAATCATAGAGTTGGAAGAGACCACAAGGGCCATCGAGTCCAACCCCCTGTCAAGCAGGAAACGTCTCCCGACATTTGCCCTGAATCTGGGAAAAGGAAACGTTGCCCATTTTACTCAGTAGGCACAGAATAAAAGCATGCAGTATTTGAAGCTGGTTAGGAAAATAGTCTACCCTGCTACTGTTAACAGAAGAAAGTTAAGTAGAAATTAACCTTTTTGTGAACATGCTTAAGGTGTTGTGGGCATCCGTCTGTCTTGGGAGACAACGGAAGAGTTTGCCTTCAGTGGTAAAGTCAAACCGTTGGAGAGTTACAGCAGCTGCTGTGGCTGAAGAGCCACAGGAAATACATGCTTTATTGTTTAATGTTTGACATCTTATTATGTTTTTGCTGGAAGCTGCCCAGAGTAGCTGGGGAAACCAGCCAGATGGGCATGGTATAATAATAATAATAATAATAATAATAATAATAATAGGTGGGGCAGATGAAGGTGTCCAGTTTTGCTGCAACAGGTGTCTCATGGTGTTTCTCCTCTTTGCGATCCTCGCAGCAGTCAATTTCTCTGCTAACTTTTTAAACAGAGGAGTTCTGTGCATTTGCTTTCTCTTTTTTCATTCCTGTCTTTTCCTTTCCTGTTTTTGGTTTTTAAGAACAGTTTGTTATGACTTTCCATATAAAAGAAAAAAATGAAGAAACAATAAAAACTTAGAGCAGATACACCCACATATTTGGTTACTCAAACATAAAAGCAAAATAAGTAGACAACAAAAAAAATTCCTAAAATATACAATCTATAACACAGAAACAAGCACTAAGTGAAGCAATCAGGGAACCATCATGGAAGTAATCAACTAGAGAAGAAGAAAAATTAACTCAGCCTATAATATCACTCCATAAAGTTGATGGAAGAAGCCAATCATGCTCTTTGACTGAAACATATTTAATAAAACAGTTTCACACAAAACATATTTTTCTCTTCAATTTATCTCAATTGACAAATTGAGCCACCAGCCAAATCTGAGAATACCATTCTTCCATCAAATTAGCTGTTATTAATTTCCAATTTCAGGCTACCACCATATGGGCCATAATAAAGACCCCCCAAAAAAGGAAACCGACACACTCTTATAAAGTATATTTTTGTCTCCATTGTGCCAACAAATGCCTCATAATCAATTGGAGCACAGGAAAAAGGTTCTTCCAAAACTCATCACTCACTGGGCAAGTCCCCCGCTTATGGTAAAATGTACCTAACCCTCCACACACCCTCCAGCAATTTGGACTGGTCGTATGAGTTATCTTACCCAGAGTGTGAGGAATCAGACACCACCTATGATTCAATTGAAAAAGAATTCTCTTTAAATCTTGCTTAGGAATGATTTCCCTTTCTGATATCCTGTTGCCATACCTGATATAGACAATAAAGGGTTCCACTAGGTTCACCCAGCAATATTTAATACTTTCTCCATATAAGACAGCTTTGTCTGTAAATGAATGTAGATTTGTGCATGCTGTTTCAGACAGAGTTCTTTGAGGTACATTTTGGGGTTTTTTAGCTGGTTGACAATTGTAAAATTCTAATTTACATTGTCTTTCCTTATGTTGTACTTCTTTGTTCACTATGTCCTTCTCCTGCCCAGTGGGTCCCCTCCCCCACTTTTCCTATTCACTTTCCCAAAATGCCTCTGCTCACCTCTTCCTCTCCCCCACCCCACTCCTGGTTTGGTGAAGTGAGCGTCCTCCAGCCGCTGACCTCCTTTTCTTTCATCTTGTGCATGGCTTAGATCTGCTGGATCTTTTGATCTATTGGCAAAGAGCATCAGAAAGCACATGTTCTCATTTGGCAACACTGCTGAGGTTTACTACAACCCCTTTTGTCCACCCTGGCCAAAAGAAGATTCTAAATTGGACATGAGTTTTCTAGCAGAAGAACCTCATTCGTTTGAGCAACTCAAGGAGCATTCCAAATGCAAGTTAATTGGATATATACAATGTCCTGCTTCCACAAGATAATGAAAACGCTGAGTTCCACTCATCAGGAAACATGGGTAGCTCAGGTACTCTACATCCTAACAAAACATGCCTAAACACACACATAGATTGGAAAGATATTCCATGAAACTCAGATCTGCCTATGTGTGGGATTTGTATCAAGCCACACTTTGTCACAGGGCACCTCTCCCCATTTTTACACGACAGCTATTGCTTGAGAGAAGCTGTGCTGCATACTCAAAAGAGCCTCATAATAACAGAGTGGTATCAATGTCTTCCTATCTTCTTCTAAGTAGCAGAAAACTCTACAAAGTGATATTTCAATGAGCCGGAGAAACGTTCCTACATCGTTCAATATCTCTGGCAAACAACTGTTCCTGATTTGCCAGATTAGAGCTATAATTAAGTCCAAATGTTCTTGATTTCCCCCCTTATGATCCCTTCGTCTGAAACCTGATGCTGGCAAGGGGCACTGTCCTCTTGTGACCTTTTCCCTTCCTGTCTCCGCAGCCCACCAACTTTTCAACTGTGAACAATTGTAAAACAGCAACAGTTGCAGGAGTTATCACTCTCCTCACACACCTGGAGGTCTGCCTGCCACTTTGGTGAAAGACCAGGCGGGGGAAATCTGTTTTGCTGTCTGATCCCACATCAGGTATAAAGCAACAGATTTCGATGAAATGGAGCGGCAGTCAGGGAGCGCAGTGACTGTACTGGTAGCTCCCCTTCTAAGCAATCAGTCACCTCTGTATTTGTGATATTAGCCATGTTTCCACATCTTGGTGAACCATGGTGTGGGATGGGGCTGGTTGCCATGGGCCTTTGTGTGTGGGGGTGTCAAAAAATGATTTCCCAGGGGGCAGATATGTTTCCCTCTGGGGCAGTGGTTCAAAGATTCCCATAGCCTTGCCTGAAGAGTGTTGCTGGGGTGTGGCTGGGAATGGTCAGGGTCTGACTTAGTTCCCCAGTCCTCCGTGGGGGAAAAAACAAAACTATAATCCTTAAGCTTTAAAAAAAACCAATGATCTGTAAGCCAAAAACAAACCTTGGCTACAGATCATTGTTTGACTGGCATGAAAGAAACCATGATTCCCAGTTTGAACGTAACACTAGGTCATGGTTTCATTCTCCCTCGTGCTAGCAGGGAGATCAGTATGTTTAAGGTGGATGATCAGTCATGGCTTTCTGTGATGTATATCAATAAATGCGGAAAGTTTGGGAAATTGTCCTAATGGTGAGACTGACACATTATTTAAAAACTATAGAAAAAAGGCAACAACAGGCAATCCTTTTTATTAAGCATTGTTAAAGAAACCTTCTGGTTCCTCATTCTGGCTTTTCAGTGTTTTGAGATATGAAGGCTTATTGTAGTGTCAGGTATATGATAATGGTCATTGATCCTCATGATGCCAGCTGAAGCAACTGGCAGAAAGGTTTCAGTCCAGGTGAAATATTTCTTATTTGATATTGTTAAAGCAGGTAATAGCTGTAACCCCCTTCTTTTTATAATTGTGTTTCCTTCATGAAAGGTGTTGTAAAGTTTAACTGCAGATATAGTAAAAGCATTAAACAATTGGATTGTTCTATGCATTAATTGTTCAGACTAGTTAAATGCTTATCTATAGTGTTAAAATTCTCACTGTCCTATTTGTCTCCACAGATATCTTCCACATTTATACACCACCATTCCATCTAAGGAGACCATGATAGTCTGCATGGATTTGGTCCATTTTATTCCCACAATGGACTTTTGAGGCAAGCTAAGCTGAGAGACATTGACAAGGTAAGGGGAATTTGAACCCAGGACCCCAAGTCCGCTATTCTTCCCAGCACAACACACTGGCTATGACAAGTTGCTTGCCTCCATCAGACCACCAGATCCGTTGCTGAGATCTTCTGTGATTGAATTTTTCTTAAAAGTTATTCCAAGAGTTCACATGGTAATGTGTCACAGCTGGTCAAGGATACAGCTCATGGATAGTTAAAAAAAATAAATAAGCAGCATGCCCTGGCTTTCCCAGATGTATTTTATTACTTTATTGCCAATTCACAGGAAATGAACAATCATTTAGCACTGACAGGTACATGCTGAAACTCACTATCTTTCTTTGAAACCTTAAAATAATGTCTTGCAGAAGTTTAGCATTAACCTCAAAACACACCACTTTTTCCCCCCTTCCTTCTTTTTTGGCCGAAGTTACAATGTCTTGTGAATGCTTTTCAGCCCAACCTGAAAACGATGGCAGCAAGGCCAAAAGAACCTAACTAGAAAAAATAATAATTCAAAACACGTTGGTCTTAATACAATTACTTAAAAGATTCGTTGTAGGTCTGAGCAGGGAAGGCCTGTTTTTCTCTTAATTGGCATCTAACCAAAATTAATGGAACATTAGGACCTCTTCATACATTACAATTTCCTTCACTGCTAATGCATTTTCTCTGCTGAAGAAGGAAATGTAAGAAGTGGACTTTATGGCCTTACATCAGACTAGACAGCCAACTAAAACCTTGGGGCATTTTCAGATGTGACACTAACAGCAAATCTAAACTCCCAATCTGTGTTGTTGGATGCAGCAGGGTTGGCCACCTGCTGGTCTCCACCAATGCAGAGTGGGGGCCACCACCACAGAGACACCGCCCAGGGCAGACATGAAAACAGCTGTAGTTGGAACCTGCTGGTGAAAGCCTGTATGCCACCCCACCAAGCAGGGCATTATGGGGGCAGGCAGG